GTACCCTTTTTTACTGATGGGTGAACACAGACAACCGGTGTAAGGAAACATGTCCGATGTTTCCACCCCTTCGCCGGCAATCGAACCCGGAAACTTGCCGTGTGAAGCAAAAACTTTTGCCACCAGGCCACGGGGCATGTGTACAAAATTAATGAGTAGTAGTCATTTTCTTACGATATCCATGTTGAGAACAGATATAAAAGGCTAGAGAACTTGGCAGCATTATTTTCTTGTCACACATCAATGCCAGTTGTTTAACACACTTGACCTATAAGATAAGATAAGATTTCGTTCGGATTTTTAACCCTGGAGGGTTACCCACCCAGGATAACCCAAGAAAGTCAGTGCATCATCGAGGACTGTAACTTATTTCCATTGTGGTCCTCAATCTTGTCCCCCAGGATACGACCCACACCAGTCGACTAACACCTAGGTACCTGTTTGCTGCTAGGTGAACAGGACAACAGGTGTAAGGAAACGTGTCGGAATGTTTCCACCCGCCGGGAATCGAACCCGGGCCCTCCGTGTGTGAAGCGGGAGCTTTAGCCACCAGGCCACCTGTGTCTTTCAAGAGCTCACAGTGATGGTACTGTAGCTATATACGCTGGAATTTTTTAGTGATTCCAGGAGAGCTCTGTTATATTCAGAAAAGAATTTGGGATAAGCCTAAAAAAGCATGTCAGCTACATCATAGAATAGGGAATCCAAAGTGCTTTGCGGTTATGATTATTATTAGTAGTACTAGAATTATTAATTATTCAGGAGTAATCGCTAAACCCGTAGGGATCCACAGGGCCAGGAAAATGAGAGGTGGTACAGTTTCTGAAATATGTTTATGGTTGCTTAAAAGGAACGGGGACGGGGGTGTTATAACCTTTCTACTACACAAGGGTCATTAAGGCTGCTTGTTACCTGTTCACCACTCAAGAATACTTAAATATCTGAAAAAAAGCATTACTCTTAGCATATATACAGTGAGAGACATAAGTTTATTCAGGTATACACAAATACAGTTACATAGATTATCATACATGTCAGCATGTGTGTAAAGTTCCTGGGATTACACAAAAAAAATCAGTGACTTATTTCCATTACAGTCCTTTTAACCTCTGTGTGTATATTTTATGTCCAAAGGAGCTATATCAGGGGAAACTTGTTTAAATAATCTAGGAGAAAACAGTACAATATTATGGATTCGACCATAAAAGAACATAGTTATTTCATGAAATAAGTATTGAAAGTTATAAAGAACATTACAGACAATTACAAAGCATATTTTTATAAATACATTTCATATATATAACAGTAAAAGAACTCTTGCCTGCACCAGGACATTGGCTAATAAATGGAATTTAAAGCCTACCGATTGTAAGGTCATTAAAGTTACATATAAAACTGTTCTCTATCAGTCAAGAATACTTTAAACCTTAAAATCGTGACTAAAGAAAACTGTGGATATTCTCTGAAGGAGACTTCTCACTGAATATATTTTTTTTACGAGACTGAGACATGTAGAACTCTATTGACCACTTCAACTGACTCTACAGTCAACTGTATAGAAAAGAATACCTCTCATGAAGACCTTTCAGCCCTAGAAGTATTACAGATGTACTGTGTGTGCGTGTAAGATAAGATAAGATAAGATTTCGTTCGGATTTTTAACCCCAGAGGGTTAGCCACCCAGGATAACCCAAGAAAGTCAGTGCGTCATCGAGGACTGTCTAACTTATTTCCATTGGGGTCCTTAATCTTGTCCCCCAGGATGCGACCCACACCAGTCGACTAACACCCAGGTACCTATTTGCTGCTAGGTGAACAGGACAACAGGTGTAAGGAAACGTGTCGAAATGTTTCCACCCGCCGGGAATCGAACCCGGTCTTGATGCTGTGATGACCGTCCATTAGGAGCATCCGAAGGTGGTATCATAAGATTGTTGATGACTTTGCTTCATGAAGTTACTGAGTTAAGTCGGCGCCTCATTGCAGCTGCGCCCAGATCATCGGGTGTTGTAGCGCCTCTAGAAGGGATGTAAAACTTAAACTTGACAAGAGCGTGAGGAATATATAAAAAACCTGAGGTGGAGGAAACCTTATGAGAGGGGAGCAATTGACTTTAGATATCTTACCGCCATCAGTACGGGCAATGGAGGCAGGAGTAGCCGCCCACCCAAAGCTGGATGGTTACCTGGAGGTTACCTGGAGGTTATTCCGGGGATCAACGCCCCCGCGGCCCGGTCCATGACCAGGCCTCCCGATAGATCAGGGCCTGATCAACTAGGCTGTTACTGCTGGCCGTATGCAGTCCAACGTACGAGCCACAGCCCGGCTGATCCGGCACTGACTTTAGGTATCTGTCCAGCTCTCTCTTGAAGGCAGCCAGGGGTTTATTGGCAATTTCCCTAATGCATGATGGGAGGCTGTTGAACAGTCTTGGGCCCCGGACACTTATGGTGTTTTTCCTTAGTGTACCAATGGCGCCCCTACTTTTTATTGGGGGCGTTTTGCATCGCCTGCCCAGTCTTTTACTTTCGTAGGGAGTGATTTCTGTGTGCAGATTTGGGACCATTCCTTCCAAGATTTTCCAAGTGTAGATTATGATATATCTCTTCCTCCTGCGTTCCAAAGAGTACAAGTCAAGTGCTTCCAAGCGTTCCCAGTAGTTAAGGTGCTTGGCAGAACTTATACGTGCAGTAAAGGATCTCTGTACACTCTCTAGATCTGCGATTTCACCTGCTTTGTATGGAGATGTTAATGTAGAGCAGTATTCCAGCCTAGAGAGAACAAGTGATTTGAAAAGGATCATCATTGGCTTGGCGGCTACGCCTGACGGGACACTCCATCATAGTGGATCAGAGGTTGTATGCATTTGAGGCAGTACTAGGGTCCTTCCACTAAAGCCTTCTTGGCTATAGCTATCACCGTAGGAGAGTATGAGTGGCCGTATGTTGGACTCTGGATATGCTGCTGCTCTCTACTGATTTGTCTGCGATGGTGTTGTTAATTCGTGAGTAACTAATCCATATACTTAAATTGGTATTTTTTTTCCTCTTCGACACCCTTAATATTGAAGTTTGATGTAAGTATTGGACTTAATAGGTAGAGAAGGTAGGTAACCCAGCAATGAAGCAACAATTTTCAATCAATCGTAATTATGACTGGGGACGTGGTGTGGGGGGGGGGGGTGTAAGGCACTGCAGCAGCAAAATCATCACTAAGTTTTGGACCAAAATCGTCAGGTTGAAGAGCTAGGTGACCGAGTAGTGATTTCATCGTTCAGTCTGGGATCAAAGTCGTTAAAGTAGATGAAGTATAAGGTTCTGCAGTGAAACTATCGTTCAGTTTAGGAGGAAAGTCGTAATGGATGACGGAGAACAAGTCTGTGTTCCAGCAGTAAAACTGGTGTTCAACTAAGGAAAAAAGTCTTCAAGGACGATAAGAAAGACGCAACAAATTAGGGAAATGTCGGAAGTACCAAGTGAAAAAGTTGGCTGGTTGGTGGAAATAATTTGGACGCTGCAGAGGAGAAGGATGCCAAGGGCCTGGTATAGGCTTCCAAGGTTTGCGGAACCTCTCAGGGTATAACATCTGATTTTCTTTAGTCGGTAGACTCTTCCAAAACTCGAGAACCTGCAATGAAATTAAGATGGAGTAATTGACATTAGATGCCATAGTATTTTCTGCATATAAAGGTTGAATGAAAAACCAGAGATAAAAATTTTGAAATATTGAAATAGTGATCAACTGAAAATTTGACAGATCTCTCTCTCTCTCTCTCTCTCTCTCTCTCTCTCTCTCTCTCTCTCTCTCTCTCTCTCTCTAATACATACACACACAAACATACATATATACATTTATAAGAGCTTATATGACTCAGTTTAATCATATGTTAAAGGTGAATTCTAGCAGGCCTACCTATCTGGAGGGTCTATCTGGAGGGTCTGTCTGGAGGGTATTCCGGGGATCAATGCTCCCGCGGCCCGGTCCACGACCAGGCCTCCCGGTGGATCAGAGCCTGATCAACCAGGCTGTTACTGCTGGCCGCACGTAGTCCAACGTACGAACCACAGCCCGGCCGATCCGGCACTGACTTTAGGTACCTGTCCAGCTCTCTCTTGAAGGCAACCAAGGGTCTATTGGTAATTCTCCTTATGCATGGTGGGAAGCTGTTGAACAGTCTTGGGTCCCGGACACTTATGGTGTTTTAGTGTACCAATGGCGCCCCTACTTTTAATTTGGGGTATTTTTCATCGCCTGCCCAGTCTTTTACTTTCGTAGGGAGTGATTTCTGTGTGCAGATTCGGAGACCATTCCTTCCAGGATTTTCCAAGTGTAGATTATGATATATCTCCCTCTCCTGCGTTCCAACGAGTACAAGTCAAGTGCTTCCAAGCGTTCCCAGTAGTTAAGGTGCTTGACAGAACTTATACGTGTAGTAAAGGTTCTCTGTACATTCTCTAGATCTGCAATTTCACCTGCTTTGAACGGAGATGATGTTAATGTACAGCAGTATTCCAGCCTAGAGAGAGCAAGTGATTTGAAAAGGAACATCACTGGCTTGGCATCTCTCGTTTTGAACGTTCTCATTATCCATCCTATCATTTTCTTTGCACTTGTGATCGTGGCACTGTTGTGATCCTTGAAAGTGAGATCCTCAGACATTACTACTCCCAGATCCCTTACATTATTTTTCCGCTCTATTGTTTGGCCAGAGTTTGTAGTATACTCTGATCTAGTTATTAACTCCTCCAGTTTTCCATAACGGAGAATAGTTGGCGAATTTGTCCTCTTGAACGATCATATTGTTTTCAACGTGCCACGACTGGAAAACTTGTTTATATCATTCTTGGTAGGTTTAATCGCTCGTGTCCTCCAAGAGAGCAGATAGAACATCTCGTGCAGTCCTTGATAATGTTCCTGATCAAAAGTATGACACGGTGCTGTGGATTATCATCTCGTCTATGTCTGAGGATGAGGAACAGGAATGGGGGGGGCGAACTAGTCTCTGGGGCCTTGTGGAACAGAGCTTTTCACTATGGCACTCCGATTTAATTCTGTTGACCACTAACTACTCTTTGTATTCGATTGGTTCGGAAGTTAAAGATGCCATCTCCCACTTAGCCAGTTATTCCTTTAGCACGTAATTTGTGAGCTATTACGCGCCCATGATCGCACTTGTCAAACGCTTTTGAAATGTCGTGTATATTACATCTGTATTCTGTTTTTCTTCCAGACATCCAAGCCGATAAGTGGATCCCGTAATTGTGAGAGGCAAGAACGAACCCTGCCCTGAACCCATGTTTGCTCTGGATTGTGCAGAGTTTGGGAATCCAGGTGATTTGGCAATTCCTGCCTTCTTAGCAACTCTTTTCAAATATTCTTTATAATGTGGGAGCGATTAGAGCTATTGGTCCCATAGTTCTTAGCTAATGTTTTGCTGACTGAACCTTTTATGGAGTGGGAGCTGCATGAGCCTACTGGCTCATGGTTAGGCAGGTTATCTTCTAGACCACCTCAATATAACAACACATGTATTAGGACTAAGTAGATCAGCAATGAAAGTTTTCAACTCTCTCGTCAAAGCTAAAATTGTGCTACATAAACTAAATAATGTGATCTATAATACTACTGATTGCGAAAAGGATTTTAGGAATTTCTGGTTAGCGTAATCTAGAAACAAGACACAGTGCATAGTGATTCGCATAAAGCTAACAGAATTCTTGGACACATCAATATCTAGAAGTATAAATAATAGAATTCCTCATGTTGTTTCTTCATACTCTATAAGCAATCCTTGGTTTAGGCCTCATTTAGACTATGCTGCCAGTTCTGTCACCCGTATTACCAGAATGGATTAAAGTTACTCTGGAAAACGTACAGAGGAGTATGACAAAAGACTGACATCCCATTATCAGAAACATCTTCCCTATGAGGATAGACTGATGCCTCTGAATCTGCACTCTCTCGAAACGGAGCTGTAGAATTAGGGGGATGTGATCTAGGTATACAAAAATGGAGAACAGGAATAAATAAATGGGAATGTATATAGCCTTACTTAAAAATTTTCCAGCCAAGACAGGCGACACTCGCAGCAATTGGTTTTCAAGTTGGAAAAAATTTCAGATTCCCAAGGAAGGATATAGGTAAAATCACTGGTTTGATAAGTAAGTCTTGTGGATGAGTGGAACAAACTCCCGACACGTACAGGTATTCATCCTAAACGTTTGTGTAATTTTTAAAAATAGGGTTAGATAAATACATGAGTGGGTCGTGGTGGGTGTGAGTTGGACCTGAAACTAACTTGTGTGCTTGCTGGTGGGTCCTTAGGCTCTAATCCGGGGGGGGTCATTGGTCTAAGATCCGGGGGGGGACATGGAAAACTGACTTCCGCATGTGTTCAGTAGGCGGCCTGTTGCAGTGTTTCCTTCTTTCTTAGTTCTTAATGTTCTTATATACTATATACATTTAAGTCATATGAAACCGAACCACTCAGTCGTTTATATATACATCATAAATACTCATATATATATATATATAAAGTATAATATATATTTATATAATATATATATACGTGATATATAGGTAAGTAGGAAGTATATATATATATAATATATATAGTATATAGTATATATATATATATATATTCAAACAAGCATCGGGGCCGTCTCCCACCGAGGCATGGTGACCACAAAAAAAGAAAAAAACCCTCCAAAAAGAAAATACTTTCATCATCATTCAAACACTTTCACCACACTCGCACATTATCACTGTTCTTTTGCAGAGGTGCTCAGAATACAACAGTTTAGAAGCATATACGTATAAAGATCGACAAGCATATCCCTCCAAACTGCGCAAATTATCCCAAACCCCCATATCCTTTAAAAAATGCCAGGCATTGTACATAAATCCCATTTTCCAGGACTCAAGTCCGACTATATGAAAATAACTCGTTTCCCTGAATCCCTTCACTAAATATTTCCCTCACACACTCCAACAATCGTCAGGTCCCAAGTACCATTCGTCTCCATTCACTCCTATCTACACGTCTCACACACGCTTGGCTGAAGTTCAAGCCCCCTTTGGCCTCCACAAAACCTCCTTACCCCTCTCTCCAACCCTTTCGAGGACGACCCCCTACCGCCGCACCTTCCTTCCGCCTATAGAGTTTATAATGCTTTCATGTGCATTCTATATTTATCCATTCTCTCTAAAATGACCAAACACTTCAACAACCCCTCTTCTGGGCCCACGACTAAATACTTTTATTAACTCCACACCCTTTTCCCTAATTATCCAACACACACGAATTTTTCTGCATAATAATTACACGCAACAATCACCATTGCCCTACCAGAACACACTGCCTCCAACCTCTCCCCTCGCTCTGGCATTTACCACCCAAGCTCAACACTCCATATAAGAGTGTTGTTCACTATACTTTCATACATTCCCTTCTTTGCCTCCTAAGATAAAACGTTTTTTTGAACATCCACATATACCTCAATGCACCACTCACCTTTTTTATCCTCTACAATTCTATGATTAACCTCATCCTTCAAAAATCCATCCCTGCCGACACGTCCAACTCCCAAGTATCAGAAAACGATCAACTTCTTCCGATACTACTCCTCCCCCATTTTGATATCCAATTTTTCTTTATCTAAATCATTTGATCCCTCATCACCTACTCTTTTCTATGTTCACTTTCCACATTTCTACCTTACACACATTCCCAAACTCATTCCGACTAACCTTTGTCATATTTCTTTAGAATCTCCCATATGCACAGTATCATCAGCAAAAAAGTAACTGTGTCAATTCCCATTTTGAATTTGATTCCAACCCACAAATTTAATTAATCCACAAAGCCCCTCTCCCGAAACACCCCTAGCAATTTACTTCCTTTACAACCCCATCTATAAATTTTTAAATCACAACCATGTGACATTACAACATCCCTGTCTAAGACCTAGCTTTTAAACCGGAAGTATTCTCTCCTCCCCCTCCCTCATCTTCTACACCACCCTACCTACCTCACCTATCCTCAATAAAAACATCTTTACCAGCTATCCAAGTTAAACTTACCACCTATTCCATATACTTGCTACATCTCCACATGCTCCCTCTATCCATCTCTATCATATGCCTTTTCAAAATCCATAAATGCAATAAAAACATCCCTACCTTTATCTAAATACTTTTCACAATATAGCTTCAAGTAAACACTTGATCTACACATCCCCCTACCGCACACTGAAACCTCCATTCTCATTCCGCCCAATCCTACAGTTCTGTCTTTACTCTAATTCTTTCAACATTATACAACCCTAACCGTACACTTTTCCTTGGTATAATCAGTAAACTTATTCCTCTATATTTTTTACAGTCTCTTTTGTCCCCTTTCCGCTTTTATATAAAAGGGACTATACATGTCTCCTGCGCCAATCCCTACATACCTTCCCCTCTTTCATAACATTTATTAAACAAAAGTTACCCAAGCACTCCAACACCTATATCCCCCCCTGCTTTTAACAATTCTGTCATGATCCCATCAGTTCCTGCTGCTTTACCCCCTTTCCTTTACGTAATGCTCACGCTAAACGCTCCCTCCCACACAGTACATTCCTGCT